ATGACTCCTTTAAGGGAAATTCTAAGTGTTTATGACGTTTCACTTAAAAAAACCCGTTAAGTAACACTTAAGGGTATTTTTCTGCAACACCCTTAGGTTTAAGGGAAACATAGGGGCGACCTTAAGGGAAAATTACACTTAAGGTGCTTTATGCAACCGGGCACTGAAGTCCAGTGTCAAGTACCCACAGTCAGTGATGGTCTGGGGTGCCATGTCAGCTGCTGGTGTTGGTGCACTGTGTTTTATCAAGGGCAGGGTCAATGCAGCTAGCTATCAGGAGATTTTGGAGCACTTCATGCTTCCATCTGCTGAAAAGCTTTATGGAGATGAAGATTTCATTTTTCAGCACGACCTGGCACCTGCTCACAGTGCCAAAACCACTGGTAAATGGTTTACTGACCATGGTATTACTGTGCTCAATTGACCTGCCAACTCTCCTGACCTGAACCCCATAGAGAATCTGTGGGATATTGTGAAGAGAAAGTTGAGAGACGCAAGACCCAACACTCTGGATGAGCTTAAGGCCGCTATCGAAGCATCCTGGGCCTCCATAACACCTCAGCAGTGCCACAGGCTGATTGCCTCCATGCCACGCCGCATTGAAGCAGTCATTTCTGCAAAAGGATTCCCGACCAAGTATTGACTATTGAGTGCATAACTGAGCATAATTATTTGAAGGTTGACTTTTTTTTTTTGTATTAAAAACACTTCTTTTATTGGTCGGATGAAATATGCTAATTTTTTGAGATAGGAATTTTGGGCTTTCATGAGCTGTATGCCAAAATCATCAGTATTAAAACAATAAAAGACCTGAAATATTTCAGTTGGTGTGCAATGAATGTAAAATATATGAAAGTTTAATTTTTATCATTACATTATGGAAAATAATGAACTTTATCACAATATGCTAATTTTTTTAGAAGGACCTGTATAATATGTTGATGCTTTGGCAACATTGTGTTACACAGTCAAGCTAATAAAGCTAATTTGAAAAAATTTAAATTGAGTGAGTGAGTGTGTGAGAGAGTGAGTGGGAAAGTGTAAGAGAGACTGAGTGTGTGAGTGAGTGAGAAAGAGTGTGAGAATGAGTGAGTGAGAGTGAGAGTAAGAGTGAGAGAGTGTGTGTGTAGTAAACGGACACGACTCAGGAATGACGCTCAGTCTCTACACCCCTTCCTCCTCCAGATTTATTGATAGTTTAAAATTACATTTCTATGTCCTAGAACTTCAGTTGCGTTTACCTTCCGACTTAAAAACTGAGTACAAGCAAATGATAGTTTTTTATTATTATTATTCTTTTCTTTTTTTTTTAAGAGTAGTCTAAGTGATATTGTACAAAAATAACATTTTGATTTCTGTGAAAGCATTCACCTTTCTTCAAACTCCGAATCGGTTTTATGACCCCTTAGTTTGTTTCTTCTTTTATCACTATATTAATGAAGTTTCCCTCGGGTGCCATACAGCCTAAACTCCACGAACGAGGCCTTCGACTGGAACCCCGTGTTTTACAAGGAATATCAAGTTCTGAATATGCTATAAAGTAGTTTGCTTTACATTGTTTTCTCCGCGTGTCTTGCGTCCTGCTGGCCCGACGGGACCGGGTGCTGTCGTGTGCTGGTCATTCACTCTCTCACTGATTAAAATAACACAAATAAAAGCGAATCATCAATAAGCCAGCGCTCCCGGCCGGATCTGATCTGTGTGGTCATTGGCTACCGTACTCTTGATCTCTCGACACGCTCGTTCCTCACTCAACAACATCCCTGTTCACCAGTGGCATGGAAAGGGGGTTCTTTAACAAAGCATTATACGTTTACACCTCTAACCAAACTAAACATAAACATTTTTTTTTTTGTATTAAATGCAGAAAGTGGAAGTTTTTTCCACCCCTTTCCTCCTTTTAACATGTCAAGAGCTCACTGGCCTGGGAATCAGCCTCTAACTGCCAACCGTTGGCCAGTGAAGAGGGTTCAGAGAAAATAATACAACCATCAATCAGAAAAGGAGGAGTTGATGGAGGGCTGGGCTAGGCAGTGGCCTCGATGGTGCACTCTTTGGCCACGTGACCCGACTTCCCGCAGTTGTAGCAGTTGACCTCGCTAGCCTTGCTGCACTGGACGGCTACGTGTCCGATCTCGCCACACCTGCGAGGAGCAGAACACACACAGATCAGGCCCGTTCCCGGCTCACACACACTCTTCCTACAACCGTCATGGCTCACCTGTAGCACTTGACCTTCTCGCAGCCCTTCTGGATGTGTCCGAAGCCGCCGCACGAGTAGCACTTCTGCTCGTTAGCGTGATCGCAGTCGCGCGCCATGTGACCTGCCTTTCCGCAGTTGTAGCAAACCTGCTCGCGCTCCTTCTTCGGCTCCTTGCAGTCCCTGGAGATGTGGCCGCCTCTGCCGCAGTTGTAGCACGCTGGAACACACACACACACACACACACACTTAAATCTACTAGAACATTGTTTGCTCATATTCTCCACTAATGCAGCTCCTCTCTTCCCAGTAGTGGTGGGGGAAAAATCGATTCTTAGATGCATCGCGATGTGGACGTTTCTGAATTGGCTTTATGCCACAGCTTCACTACTTCCTGAACTTCAGCCAGCCCTTTGTTTCCTGTCTGTCATTATTGGACAAACTGATTAATCCAGATGTGCCTGATTATTGGTACTGAGGCCAGGCACACCTGGATTAATCAGTTTGTCCAATAATGACAGACAGGAAACAAAGGGCTGGCTGAAGTTCAGGAAGTAGTGAAGCTGTGCATAAAGCCTATTGATTCACAAATGTCAAAAATCAATAAAAAAAAAAAAAAAAAAAAAAAATTATATATATATATTTATAATAACGTAATATTGACGAAGCGTGGAAGTGCAGTGCCCAGACCAAACACCCTCCTCGTTAATAGCTGACGATTTTGGCTTCTATAAAGTTGAAGGGGGAAAGGAGCTGGACAAGAGCCACACTATTTGTAAGCTTTGTAGAATAAAATTAAAATATTTCGGAAACACGACAAATATGAAAAGCCATATGACACGTTTCCACCCAGAGGAGGAAAAACACTCGGCTGTACCAGTCGTTGTTATATTATTAACTTACTACAAGTATGCTGCTAGTTCAGGCACACATTTATTTTCCTGTTGGTTCTTTGCAATGTTAATAAAATATACTGTACGTTAATTCTTTATGGGTCATTACTTTTGTCACGGCTGTACTTTGTATTATCTTTTCTGCCGTGTGTGTGTGCGCGTGTATGTGCTTCCCCTGCAGGTGCGCCGGTGGATCAGGTGGATTGGATGCACCGGTGCACAGGTGTGCCTATCGATAAGAGTTTCCTGTTTGGAGTCCTCAGTGAGCGCTCCTTGCTGTTACCTCGATCCCTGGCCAGGACCGAGATGTTGGTCGGCGTTGCGGCGTATTGATAATAGTTTGAAGAATGTGAAAATAAAGCGAGTATTGTAACCGCCGAAAACGCTTTCTCCTCATTCATTGTTGCTCCCTATTAAGGGCGTAACAATTGGGGGCTCGTCGAACTAAACTTCGTGTTTGGAATCGTGCTAATTTTTTGTTTGGAAAAACTTTGTCTTTGAAGGAGGATATTTGAATGGATTACATTTGTATATTATCCACCTATTTTGTAAATTGGTAAAGTTGGAACGCTCCATTAGATTGTTAGGCTCTATAACATAATTTGTTTGGGGTGTATTAAGGAACAAACCTTCCCATGTAGGTATAGTGCGTGTTTACAGACACGTAGGTTTTTTGTTTTAGTTCGTTATTTTTGGTTGGCTCGGGAGCACTTGCATTTGTCTCGGGAGCACATCCGAGGTTTGGAGGGCGACTCGGCAATTGGGCTTCTTTCCAAACTTGCGGGATTTAGTGCATAAGTACCCAGTCTTGGGCCAGCTGAAGATTAGGGTCTACATAATTTGAGGGGATGGTTTTGCTGAGCGGTGTTTTGTGGGCTCAATTACTGTGAATTATGGCAAGCGATGTTATTGAGTCATTCGTTCAGACTCCGTCTGAGGAGTTGTTAGATGTAATGACTAAAGAACAACTGTTAGAGCTAGCTGCGCATTATGAAACCGAGCTGACCTATAACCAAAAAAGGTCCAAAGAGGGAATCAAGTTAATCCTTGAAGCTGGGCTGTGTGATCTTAAAATTTTGATAGGAAAATCTAAATTGCCTGACCCAGCTACGTTGGCCGCTGTAAGTGCTCCTCTTTCGTTGCCTGCTTTAAGCAGTTTTTCCTTCGAGCAACAGAAAGAGTTATTGCTTATACAACGTGATACTGAATATGGACACCCTTAATAGGGAGCAACAATGAATGAGGAGAAAGCGTTTTCGGCGGTTACAATACTCTCTTTATTTTCACATTTTTCAAACTATTATCAATACGCCGCAACGCCGACCAACATCTCGGTCCTGGCCAGGGATCGAGGTAACAGCAAGGAACGCTCACTGAGGACAGGAAACAGGAAACTCTTATCGATAGGCACACCCGTGCACCGGTGCATCCAATCCAGCTGATTACCCCCCAGCGCACCTGCAGGGGAAGCACATACACACGCACACACGGCAGAAAAGACAATACAAAGTACAGCCGTGACAACTTTGTACTTTTAAAGCAAAGTATTTATAGTCACAAAAAAAAAAAAAAAAAATCAGATAATCGATAATCGCTTTAGCATCAAATCACACCCCTCTGAATCGTAATCGAATCGTGAGGTGCCTAGAGAGAGAATAACTGCTAAATATTGGAAAGATCCAGACAACTATACGTCTCTTATGTATAGTTACTTTTTAAACACGAAAATCGCATTTAGCATGACACGCAAGCGGTTGCCGTGGTAATGAACAACTAATTACTAAATATGCAGCACGAGTTCTATATTTCTAACTACAAGCAATTAGCCACTGAACCAGCTGATAAAATCTTCCTTTGATTCGATACGTGATTACAACTTGACACTCAAATTAACCGATTGCATTTTACTGATGCAAAGACAAGGTGTATAATTTAAACTACTTAGTCAACACTAACAGTAGCTGCTGTTTGATTTCATACTGCTGCTTTCCTTCTAGTCACTTCTGAACTTGAGACTTCTGAAACTCTCTTGATTAAAGCTCCAGGTGACGGGTTGCCAGATATCACAAAAAGAGCAAAACAAGCCCCTTAAAAACACAGTAAAATAAGCAGACATAGTAAAAATATACCAGGGAACACATTTAAACTAGTGCTATCAAACGATTAAAATATTTAATCGCGATTAATCGCATTAATGTCATAGTTAACTCACGATTAATCGCAATTAATCGCACATTTTTATCTATTCTAAATGTCTCTTGATTTCTTTTTGTCCCATTATTTTTTTCTAATTTTAATGCTCTTATCAACATGGAAAAGTGGATCAGCTTGCTTTGTGCAAATGTTTTTTATTGAAAACAACATTGACCATACTGTTCAATTTCACACTAAAACATTTTCACTTGGAGCAAATAATCTCTCACACAATGTAACACTGTCCATCAATAAAAGGGTGAAAGAAATACTAACGAGGTCCTGATATTGACAAGGGGGCGGAGAATTTGCATCAGCTGTGTGTATGCTTGGCCGTCAGGTGGTATTTCAGACTGGACGTGCTGCGATGATGATAGCTCAGTTCGACAAAACACACAGATCACTTTGGTCTTGTCAATGGAACCATTTGGCAACTTTTTAAAAGTAAACTGTCAATTCAGAATCTTATTGGCATCCATTTCGGCGACTCACGCTCGTCATCCACTCAAAACGTAACGTTAACCTACTATTTGGCCGGCTCGCAACAAGTGTGTTTCCGGTCTAGCTAGATCCGGTGCTTTCAGACAGGACGCGGAATGCGCGGCGCTACGCCAGTTTTCAAAACTTTTTGGATGCCATCAGCGGCAATCGTCGCAGCGGCAAAAGTTGAACTATTTTGAATTTTGACCGCGGTGTGCGCGCCGCTGCTCTTGCGCTTTGGTCGACAAAGCAACAAAACGTCCTCGCACAGCGCAAGCCATTGAAATGAATGGGTTTCATAGCGCAGCGCCGCGCATGCTGCGTCCTGTTGCAAAAGCATGTGAAAAAAACTACAAAGTTTGCTAGGCCAAAAAGACTTAATCTCGCGATAAAAAAATTAATCGCGTTAAAATGGGTTTGCGTTAACGCGGTTAATAACGCGTTTAACTGACAGCCCTAATTTAAACATAACTAGTATTACCAATATCCTACAAAATTACTATAATTTATTATGATAAAATCAAACTAATTATGAATAGAATTCAATATAAAATATTCAGATATTATAAACTGATTGATGAAGTAAAGCAATGCATGAGAAAAATTATTCAGCAACACTTTTCTAAAGTTTAATTGCACCTATGAGTTGTATTTAATATCAATCACTTGGGGGCAGTTCATCTAAAAGTTGATGAGTGTGTTTTGTTTACTATATTTAGCTATCAAAATAGTTTACCAAAAAAAAAAAAAAATTAAACAAGGTGAAGTACTTTTCATTTCTAAAGTATTTGGGTTTATTTATTATACAAAGCCCTTTTAGTCGATTTTTCGAGAATAACTACATATATAAATAACTATATCGTGAAATATATCGTTACCGTGAAATAAAATTAGTCATACCGTGAAACACAATTTTCATCATACCACCCACCCCTAGTTTCTCGTATAACGCTGTAACTCGCTGCTTTACTACCATATGCATCATTGAAGAAATCATCTAGCTAGTCACGACTGTTTCCCGAAACCGTATCGTCGCAAATTGGTCGTTCAACCACGTTGGTTAATGATGTCACGCAGGTGTTGGAGTAATAATACTTATAATGAATCTGTTTGAGATCGAATTAATGCGAGATGTTTTGCTATAAATTACGATCATGGCATCTGTGGAATATTTCTCATTTTTCTCAGTTATTTCACTTTATTTCCAGATTCAATCATAGACTCGTTCTTACACACTAGAGCTCGTTCACACATGCGCACTCTTCAAACACGACACTTTAAATCTCTTGACAAACTAAAAGACGTAAATGACATTAGTATGTGGTCTAAATAAAAGATATAGATTGCACTGAATGTCAGCTTGCTTATTTTGCTCAAGATCAGGATTTATTGAGTCCACATGTCATGAAAACTGGAAACTCTGCTTCTAACCACAGCTAGATCTAGATCTGTCAAACACACAACTCTGCGATGCTGTTGGCGAATGTTTGTTGGAACGATGGTTTCGGGAAACACTGACTCGTTGAATTATCCTGATAACGACCATAGTTGGCTAACGATGCTTTCAGGAAACACACTTCTGTTTACTTCCTGTCTCTATGAAGCCCCTCCTTCTGAAAGCACACTGTGCTCTAATTGGTCGGCTGGAGCAGTGTGTTGTGATTGGTCGAGCGATTCGAGTGTGTTTGGGAAATGTCCCGCCCCTTTCCATAACCGCCAGTTTAACACACTACTAAACCAACTCAACCAGGCCCCGCCCCTTTGTTTTGCGTAATAATTATTATGAGGAAGAAACTCAAGACTACAATGGAGGCGTTTCACTAACACTGATATAGAGAATAACTGGAGCTTGTTCATGATCAAACAGCAACATTACATACTAAACACAGATGAAAATCACAAATATGATGCACTTTTATGGACTTCAAAACAGAAACGGCCATTCACTGCCATTATAAAGCTTGGAAGAGTGATTGTGTTCGTCCGAAAGAAGAATGTCGTGTGAAATGTGAAAAAGTGTCTGCTAAATGAATAAATGTCATATACACCTAGGATGACTTGAGGGTGAGTAAATCATGGGCTAATTTTCATTTTTGGGTGAACTATCCCTTTAAGACTGTAAAAGCAAACTGAATGTGTAATGTGTGAGATGTCCTCACCGTCCTCGGTGCGCTCACAGTCCCGCGCGACGTGGCCCGGCTCTCCACAGCGATAGCAGAACAGATCTAGCGGCGCAGGAGAAACACATTACTCACACACAGACACACACACTCGGGGTCAAGACGTTAGATCGATTGCTCTCACCTTTGCCTCTGCCTCGACCTTTTCCACGTCCACGTCCCGCATTCGGACAGTTCTTGATCCAATGGCCGGTGCGACCGCAACCAAAACACTCGTTGCTGCTCATAGCCTCAGACTGCACCCTACGACTGAGAGAAACACACACTCGAGTTCATGAACACACACACTCATAGCCTCAGACTGCACCCTACGACTGAGAGAAACACACACTCGTTCATGAACACACACACTCATAGCCTCAGACTGCACCCTACAACTGAGAGAAACACACACTCCAGTTCATGAACACACACACTCATAGCCTCAGACTGCACCCTACAACTGAGAGAAACACACACTTTAGTTCATGAACACACACACTCATAGCCTCAGACTGCACCCTACAACTGAGAGAAACACACACTCGAGTTCATGAACACACACACTCATAGCCTCAGACTGCACCCTACAACTGAGAGAAACACACACTTTAGTTCATGAACACACACACTCATAGCCTCAGACTGCACCCTACAACTGAGAGAAACACACACAAGAGTTCATGAACACACACACTCATAGCCTCAGACTGCACCCTACGACTGAGAGAAACACACACTCCAGTTCATGAACACACACACTCATAGCCTCAGACTGCACCCTACAACTGAGAGAAACACACACTCCAGTTCATGAACACACACACTCATAGCCTCAGACTGCACCCTACGACTGAGAGAAACACACACTCCAGTTCATGAACACACACACTCATCAGGGAACTACACTGCGACCAAAATGGTCGCATTTGCGACCTTTTGAAATGCCATTGCGACCCTAATTTTTAATGGGTCGCAAATGTATCACCGTTTGATTATTTTTGTACCTACCTAATGTTTTAGGCAATATGCTATGATTTACTATGAGCATTTATTAAAACAGAAATGTGTATTTTAAGAATACGTTTTATAACGCGCTCTGAGCATTCAACACATCAAGTTGGCTTCGCGGATTCGCGCTTGTTTAACTGAGAGAACGAGCAGAGAGAGTGAAAGCCCCAGTCGCGCGCGCGCTCTCTCTCCCTCCCTCGCTCATAATAATGAATTGAGTTGACTGAATATCTTTGAGAATACACGATGGTAAAAGGTCGGAAGACCGAAGTTTTTTTTTTTCTGAACTACCAGGTTGTGAATTGTGCTAAAATAACGTTGCCTCATCTTCTCTGAAAAGCTTTCCACACATTCAGATGGCATAAACCACTCTTTCAATAAACAAAACAAAAAATCTATCTGGTGATGAAATGTTTTCTGTGTTGAGACAAATCTTGTGCGATGTCCTAAACTGCCTGGATAATCACACAACGTGTGCCGTGGTCCGTTAATGACACGTCCGATTCGCGAACTGACTCCTTTGAACCGATTCACTTTAATGAATGGTTAAAATAACAACTGATCTGTCCAACACTGAACTCAAGAGTCATTCTAGAATGATTCATTCTTTCCAAGTAGAGCTATTCAAGTCATCTGGTGAAATTGTTTTTATATCGCAATATATATCGCAGAAAAATCAAATATCGCAATGTCATTTTTTTACCAATATCGTGCAGCCCTACTGTAAATTCTGTGGGCCTTCAATTGCAGGACTGTCCAAATTTGTAACTGCGTCAAAACAATTCAAACACGAATCATTGAAGCTTCACAATGACATATTATATTTATTTTACTTTTCCTTAAAGGTGCCCTATGTAAAAATTGAGGTAAAATTATCCAAAAAATGAGCTACACGCATCAAAAGAATGAGAAGAAATAAGTGCAATGATGTCATTAAAAAATGGACAAGTTATAGTGCTGCCGAGATATAAACCTAAATTAGCATGCTAAATTACTAGCGCCGACCCGACTGGTGTCGTAATACCAGTTTCGGCCATGGGAGGCGGTATGCGGGCAACATACATAACCACCAGCC